ACTCGTCCTGTGGCCTTGAAGCTGCTGCTGCTGATGCTGAGCAGGGTGTCCAGCACCATGGTCAACCAGCTTCCTGTGGCCACAAACTCTGGTCCAGCCTATCAAGTCCAACAGCACTGAGCTGAGCATCTATAGGATTATGAAATAGCAAACAGTGTGTAACAGGACCCTGCGGTGTCTCACCCCCAGGCTGCCGTCACCATCAGTGGGCAGGTTGCTCTCATACTTGGCGAGAACAGCGGCGAGGCCGCTCAGAGCCAAGATGGCGTTTCCCTGAACAACAGGACTGTCCCTGAAACGATCCACAGAAAGTCATTTCACAGTGCTCGCATCAGGTTACTCTGCACAGCTCACCAAACGTTTCCTATGAAGCAGAGCGACCAGGGGACTCACTTTGTAGCAGCTTTGATGACATCTGCCAGCTGATCTCTGGCCCTGTGTCAGAAACATGAGAAAAATACATTAAAAAGATGAAGAACGTGATGAAGAGGGTGACCAGTGTCTGTTAAAGCAGTGGTGCACATCAGCACTTTAGTCTATTTACAACCGTAACTCCCAAAACATCAGGACGGCGTCTCACATGTAAATGAAACAGGGTGATTGATTCAATTTACAGATTAAATGTAATCACATGTTTAAACTGAGAAAAACCAACATTTAGGGGAAAACGAAGTGTTGAGAATGTAAGTGTGATGGTGTAGCGCTGAGACAGACGCCGTAGCATCTTTGTAACGGTCTGTAGATGTCTTCGACTGGCCCTTGGGACAGGAATGTCCTCCTGTTCTTGTCCGAGCAGCTAAAATCCTGGATCAAAGTCCTCGGTCTTCTTTGGTGGATTGTTCATGTGCCTCTCTTTTGCCCGGAGAATGCTTCCTCCATGCTTTCTAAACAAGTCTGTGCGCCAATTCATCCCACAGATGTTCTGCTGGGTCAAAGTCAGGACTCTTTGTAGGCCAGTCAGGTTCTTCCTGTGCACACGTTCATGTTGGGAGCAGGAAATCGTCCCGAATGTCTTTGTATTTGGAAGCATTAACAATTCCTCTCACCAGAACTAAGTAGCTGAGCCCAACCTCTAAAAAACAGCCGCACTATCATCCCTCCACCACCAAAGTCAGACCAGTATCAGTCTCCTGATAACTGCCTAACCAGACTCCTCCATCTGCGAGACGGAGAAGCGTGAACACGACATTTTACAACTATGCTTGTTGCATCCGATCACGACACCGTCCAGGAACTTCCTGAGCTCCTGACAGCGTCCCACAGACTTTATAACCTGTGACTGACATGCCTGAAAACCATGATTCACTCTCTTCATGGTCAGGAGGGAGAGCAGGTGGTCTACTGGTCAGGAGGTTGCTGGTTCAGAACCAGTTATTTTGGCTACAGAGTGCAGATGTTACCACCAAGTGTTGATGTAAATTTGGCCCACACAGCAGGGATACACACACACACACACACTACAGTCAATACAGTAAGATTAGAGACGATGTACAAAAGCACTACCATTTATACACACAGTCTACACATATACATGCAAGTATGAGTGTGGGTCTCACCACAGCCAGGCACAGTGATGCTTGTACTGCAGCTCCTGTGGATCCTCTTTGCCTTGTTTCTGGAGCATCTCTAACTCAGCACGTCGACCCTGCCAACAAAA